AAAAAAAATACTTTAGATCGCTCTCCTGTAATACTTTCCAAATGCAAATTAGACGTTTTACCATTCCAGTGTCGATATATTTGTTTACTTTAGTATCATGTCAATGTTAGCACTAAAGTACAATTATTTGGATGCTATTTTCATGTATAAAAAAATAATTATGTATGTATTGCCAAATTTAAAACCTCCTATGTGTCATTGGTCAATAAGTAGTTTTGTGAATATTTGAAAAGCATATTCAAAGAGTAACCGACTGAATAAACTCTCATGTGAATATCTTCTTATTTCAATGACAAGCAACAAAAAATACTCCATGAAAATTTTACAGGAGAAAGCTTTTCTCGTTTTTCTGTGATTCGTTGATGTGACTTTTAACACATAGGAGATATTAAATTTGCAACGACCATATAAAATAAATTTGGCAAATTTTAAATCCCTCGTCTTCTAAATGCATTTCATGCAGTTACACCACTTTCGCACTAATAGCTTAAAATGTCTTTTTCAGTTTGCCAGTCGGTACTGCACGTACAGAGTTCCGGCCCTGGTGGAAGGTCCTAAAGTTGTATTCCAATTTCTCAGGAAGATTACAAGACCGTTAACTGCTTCCCTGACTGCGTTAACAGCTCTACAGTTCATAGCATCCTCGGCAGTAACATATTTTGAAATGAAAAACAACTTTACAATGAGAAAAAAGATGGTGGAAATGGAGAACAAACTATTAGCTGAATAACTATGGATATAATTATGTAGTATATAAATAGACTGTAAATAGAGATTTTTAATTGTGTTTTTTTTTTTCAATTTGACTAAGAGAGAATATTAGTGAAAATTGGCTACATAATTAATAGACTCGTGCGTCATTTTGCGGAAATCCATGTTAATAAAACTGGAAATCAATTTCTTTGCTACTCCGCGAACGTTAATTTTTGAATGAATTGAATGTTAAATCGTGCTAAACTGTGGCGCTTGCGTTGAATTTTTTTTATAATATATAATTTTATTAATTTTGTGGGAATAATTTTATTAATTTTGTAGGAAAATTAACTACATAAAAAAAATCCAACACCGTTAACTTTCACTGGGCTTGCGGAATAGAAACTTATTAATATCCATTTTTATTGAAAGTTTGCTATATGTAACACTGTCCTAGGGAAAACATTTCGAAAACTAATTGTTATTCACATCCATTTCACTGTGTGAAGTGATAAAATATGTTATAAGAGTATTTCTTAAGTACGTTAATTTCAAGTATTTAAGATACACTACAATTAAACAGTCGGCCGACTTTCGGAGCATTTTGACTTAATAAGATCCGAGTGTTGGTCGGCCCTTTACGAGATTCATACACCGTGAGAGGCGCGGCACAATTTGGTTTGTATACAAAAATGAATATACGTTGTCAAATTCCGTGTGTGTGCATTGAGTGAGGCACCCTTTGAAGAAAGTTTTATATTAATCATTTAGTAAAACTTCTAAAATAATTGTAAAATAAAATTATTCTATTTGTAAAAACATAAATTACTAATGTCAGTAGTAGTCCTTGTGTAAGAGTTCGTCCAGAGAAGTAAGTTACCTATTTTTGCCGCCAAGCAGTAACCGATCTGAATAAAACTTGGCACAGATGTAAAAATACAGCGATAAGCAAACTTTTGAGATCGGTTCTTTGAATATAAAAACGTTATTATCATGGTTTATTTTTTACAAATAGAAACATTGATTAAGGGCGCGTTCAAATTAGCTGCTGTTAGAAGCGCAGCAGCCGCGTGGAGCGCGACTGTCGCGCTGCTGAAGTGCGACCAAATTTTTAGTGATGTTTTATTTTTCATCTCAGTTACGCGATGGATTCTGACGAAGAAACACTTACTTTTACGTAGTTCTTGGATCACACACTTCACATATAGGTATGAAAAATGACTCACCTGCTATGTTTTTTTTCAGTTTGCGGTAACTTCATACTATTCACAAAGGAGACGATAAAACAGATAGGCCTTTTTAACTGATCACGGCAGTATACATACCAATTTTTTTTAAAGTAATTTCACATGCGCCCATTCAACTAACGGCGGCGGAATTCTCCCTTTCGATTGGCATTGTAAAGTACAGGATTTTTTTCACATTTGGTCGATTCGATACCCTGATGAGGCACGCAACTTTTTAAAAATCGTATTATGTACTATTATTTAAATAAATCACTACAACTGTAGCGCTTTCTCATACAAGAATAGGCTTCATCATCCCTGTCCTGACTAACAGTCGGAACTATTATACGGGAATCACTGCATTTATGTTGTGCTATTAGTGCATTGACTTACAAATAAATGGACGACGGGTCTAATACAAAAACCACGAAAATAATGTCCCAAGTCAACCTATTTAAACGTAGTGACATGTAAAGGAATATGAAAAAGCTAAAACGTTGGATTTAAATTGTAATGTCATCGCAGTACTGTCTAACTTTGCTTGCTTCGCTGTCAGTCGAACAAACGAAGACTAAAGCGTGAATGACGCTCTGTATACGATTTTAACGCCCTATAAGTTCGGACACTTTTTAGCGCGGACCCGACGTCCATATAATTGTAAGTCAATGTATTAGTGTTAAAAAGACGTAGCGCGTTCGCTTCCGCTTGGACCGCCGCGCCAATGGGAAACTCACCACGTCGATTTTGGTCTCTTTACAAGGACATATAGCTTTTTCTAATCGACTTGATTCAGTGTTGATAAATGTGTTAAGCAGTTTTTCTCGGCAGTGCATTTTCGATTCAACACTTACTTGACCTGCAGCTCGTGACAGTTTCAAAATTGTCAATAGATAGACATACATTTTCCCATGCCTTTTTATCCAATCGATTGGAATAACTGGCGGAACTGCTATCCCATATTGCAGGGTGTTTTACATTCTCTATAAATTCTTTCGTCCGTCGATTTTCATCCATCGTGGTTAATTTGAAAAATTAACATGTACACCTCACTAACCGTGACTGCACCCGAGCGTGACTACAGCGCGACTGTCGCGGCCGACGCGCGACTGCAGCGCGTCTAACAGCAGCTAATTTGAACGCGTCCTTACAATTGTTTTATAACTTTTAATAATTGACTATTATATTATAAACCTTCTTCAAATGGTGCTCACTCGATGCACACACGCTGTCAAATTTGTGTAGAAACAGCGCGCGGTATGAGAATAAATTAATGATTGAATGGTTAACATGACCACGTAAGGGCAAACGCAAACCGGCGAATAGCATAGCAGATAACATTAAATTTATCAATGTATATTTTATGCTATTGCAACTGAAATGAGTATAAATTCCAATGCTCTGAGATGCAGTGAGTAAGGGCACGTTCCCATTATGTCGTCGTTTTATTTTCCCGTTGAACGACTGTCGCGTCTAGCCTGTTCCCATATCACGACTATCTGTCCTGACTGTATCGTGGACGTTTACTTTATTTATTTTATCGCAACACAATAGTGGGAAAAGCTAGACATCTGTTCCCACTAGATCATGACGACAATTTATCGGTTCACGGCAGCCGCCTTGTCGTTTGCACGACAGATCGCTTGAAACTGCGATTAACTGTCGTCACATTTTTATCGTCAGCCCACTGTCGTTCTAGCTCTTCCCATTGTCACGACAATCTGTCGTCGTAAGGGCGCGTTCCCATTATGTCGTAGTGCTTTATTTATCGTTGAACGACTGTCGCGTCTAACGTAGCCCCCGATTCACGACTCTTCGATATTTTAACCGAATCGTTCGATTGGATATCGTTCTCGAACATTCGAGTTAAACGTTCGATTCGGATTCGGATACGATATCTTTATCCAACAGCGTTCACGCAGTTATTCGATGAAAATTCTTTTATATACATTTTTAAGACTTTAAAGGCCTAAAATATAAGAATACATTAGCCGTGCATTAAAATAAGTTAATAAAAATCCAGACTTTATTTAAAATAATAAGAGATTTCCATATTTCATTCTTACTTTGTAAACAATAGGACGTTTGGTAATTTTCATTCGATAACTGTATTCTGAATAACGTTTGTAGTCTTTGCCGGTTGAGAAGTTCGAGTAATCGTACGGGCGTGATGTCATTTCGGTTCGGTTTCGAATACGACAGTTTGACGTTCGATTCGGGTGTTGTGACTAAAAATTAAAAGAAATCGATCGACAACTGAGTTATCGTAAGGTTCTGAATCGACCCACAGTTCCCATATCACGACTATCTGTCGTGACAGTGTCATGGACGTTTACTTTATCGTTTAACGACTGTCGTGTTCCCACTAAATCGTGACAATTTATCGGTCAACGATAGTCGCCTTGTCGTTTGCACGACAGTATCATCAGTATCGTTTGAAGCTGCGATTATCTGTCGTCACATTTTTATAGTGACGTTTTATTTATCGTCGGACAACTGTCGTAGCTCTTCCCATTGACACGACAGTCTATCGTCGTAACGTCAAAAAAGTTGTGAACGACAGTTAATCGTGTTGTTCTATGCGAAAACAACGTCATATAAATATAGTAGTAATATAAGCCACGACACTAAACTATACCACTCTATCGTTACGACATAATGGGAACGCCGCCTAATGAATGTATACCTTATTCCAATTCAAATAGCACTTAATTTATATTTTTTTATTAATGTCCTTTGCCTTCCCGGCTGCCGATTTGCGCTGACTCTTAGTCTACAGTGTGCGCACGCAATAACGTAATGTTGTACCAGTGAGTGTTAAAATTAAAAAAAAAACTCAAATTAACCTATAATATTAGTTTTATAATCATAAGTTTAAGAATTACAAAAAAAACTGACAACAATCTATGCACACAACTTTACCAGAGAAACGCTTCCTATGTTTGAACACATGCAACTGCCCCTTACACCTAGCCTATTTTCCTAGACCATTCTGAATAACAGTGCTCCGGTTGAGCTATAAGGGAATCGCCACACGGAATTGCATTAAGCAGGCATGAAAAAACTTTTATGTCCATGTAATAAGAACAAAAAAAAACATTTTAGTTTTTTCAAATCGGCTCGAGCGTTAATAAGTGTGGCGAATCCCTAATGTTATGCGCAGCGGTTCTCATGTAAAGCCGGGTACTCATTAGCGAGCTGTAACAGTAACGTAACAGATACAATAACGAGGTTCAAGTGTGTACGCGTGAAACAGTCTTCACTTGCTAGAATAAGTACCTGGTTATCGTCGGCTCACTGCGAACCGCACGCGTTCCGCTCGCGGCAAGCTCGCGAACCACGTACATACTATGATTTTTGGTAGCATAGCATGTAACGGTTACAGCACGTTAGTGAGTACCCGGCTTAACGGTGCTTTACTGCGCCAATCGCTTTCAACTAAGAAAACCTCAAGGCCCCTCATATACGGGACGATTTGTGTTCACAATCCGTTGTTCCAGACTAATCGAAACGACGACTCGATATTCATGGCACGTTTAAGGGGACATTCATTATCCTGCATAGCAGTCCGCATAGCCGTCCGCCGCATAATGCGAATTATGAATGTAGTCGCAGCGGGCAAGCCATCCTGCAATCCTGCAATGCCTCCTGCGAGACTCCATACGTTGGCCATATGCAGGATAGTGTGTGAGCAGTCTCCGGCCTGCGCGGCGGACCGCCATGCAGGTAGTGAATGGACTGTTTAACTTGAACGCCAAGGCAATAGTGACGGATGAATACGATTATCGTGACGACGGATCGAAAGGAGGAATCGCGTGTATATGGGGGCCTTTAAAGCCCACACATCGAAGCCAACAAATCATTCGCAAAACATTCCGAGGCATATTTCTGTGGTCCACTTTGATGACTAATACACTAACAGTAGGAAGAGAACTAGGGATACAATACTGAATGAAATCATTTTTAACAATTGCACCCGAAGTGTGCCCCTACCA